TTTTTTTATTATTATGCCATGCCATGCCCATATACATTTAAGGTATTCGCGTGTTAACCCTTCGTTTTTAAAAATTAAAATAATCGATTTTTAAGCGGATCGAATTATGTTGCTATGTTATGTGTCTTGTGCTATCGAAATAATAAACGAGAAAAAAAATCGGTCTGGCTAAAAATAGCCAAAACAAAAGAAAAGCGTTTGGTGGATAAGTGACGATTTAAGTATTACGTAAAAAAAAAAAAAAAAAAAAATGCTAACGATGAAAAATTATCTACAAGTGAAATCTATAACTATAATTAACTATAATACTGTACAACTATTATTTTCGATTAATAATAACCATTTCCAGTATTAAAAGGTTTTAATTCTGTAATTTCACAGCATTCGTTGCCAAAATCTCCTTCTAAACCTTCTGGGATCTCGCAAGAACCCTGAGTTTCGTAAGTTGTGAAAAAGTTCATTCCATCTTGGCCCCATATTATTGCACCTGGATAATAAACGTTTTCGGAAAATGGATCCACGGTAGCTTCAAAACTTTGTGACCATAATGCCATATCAGCGGTGGAATCAGTATTGGGTATATTATTTTGTAGATACTGTCCCTCGTCAGTAAAGTCTTGCCCGTTGTATGGAAACCATTGCACACTCGAATCTAAATTTGGCATCATTGAATCTAGATTTGAAATAAAACTTGAAATAGTGGAATCCGTATTTGGAGTCATCGAGGTAACGGAATCCGCATTGGAAGTAATGGAATCCATACTGGATGTAATGGAATCCATACTGGGTGAAATGGGATTTGTAATAAAATCCGAACCAGAAGAACTTGAAACCGCATTTGAAGAATTTGATATAAAAACAGATTCTTCAGTGTCTGATACACTAGAGACAACATTTGTTGACTCTGTATCTTTTTTACTTATGCGCTTCTTGTTCCTTTGGCTATAATCATCATCTTCATGTTTTCTTTTACCTTTTTTTTCAAAGGTTTCAGGACTGTAATTTATGTATTCATCGACAGGCTTTTGAGCCTTTCGAAATACAAAGTTAGGATTCTGGTCGTAGGTTCTTGTCTTCAGGTCAAGAGAAATTTCTGAAAAGATTTTCTTCTCATCAACGGACGCTCCGTGCCAGATCAACTGCGCAAGCTGTGAAAGTTCCGTTCCGTTGAAAACTGTATTTGAATCTTTGAAAAATAGTCCCAAAACTCTTCTAAAACACATAAAAGAATTCATCCATCGTTTTTCTTTTAAGGTGCCATCAGGATTATATTCTGGTTTTTCAATCTCATTTATGCCAAATTTCGGTGGAAACAAATCCTGCCGATTTAACTTTGCAATTTTGTTTCTTAGTTCAATCGGCATTTGTTCCATTGTTATTACATCCCCACTTACTCATACACGCCTACCTTGAAAAAACCGCAAGATCCCTTCATTAATCTTACAGGAACGCCTTCAAATATTGGACTGGTTCCTATAGAGCCTGTAGAAAATTTCTCAAAAGATGATAAAGATAATAAAGATGATAAAGATGATAAATATGATAAATATGATAAAGATGATGTAAAACAACCTGAAGAACAGAGACCTTCGATTGTTTCGGGTGTCCCTCAACAAGAAAGTAATTTAATAGACTCGGATTACTTATTCGGCGGGCAACAATGCTTTTTTGACGAATCCGTTTCTTTGGCTGGTAACGAAGTTACAAATGATGCAGAGAATAATACTCAATCTCAGTATCATATTTACAACTCAATCAACGATTTATACTCTGAGTCTACCAATGACTCTTTGTTTCCTTACCATTATCTAATTAATAACATAGAATATGATTCTTTATTTAATTTTGATGCTGCAAGTAGTGCAAGCGGCTAGCAAGAACATTTTAAATTAAGTGCTGCAGAGTAAAAACTTGTAACTGATCAAAAGTAAATCATTATGATCAGTTACAAGTTTTCACTCTGCAGCATTTAAATTTTTTATTTCATATTTTTTGTTTGTTTTTTTCATAGGAAATTCTATCGATAATTTGGATAAAGATAATTTTAGGTATATGATTATCACCCATCTAAGCGTTAACAATCTATGTTTACGCTGGAGGTTAGAACATACCTTCGAAATTTCAAGTTTAGTCGAAATTACAAGTTTAGTCGAAATTACAAGTTTAGTGAAATTACAAGTTTAGGTTACAGTTTATGCTTCTAACCTAAACTTGACCAGCCCTGGCACACACGTACAGTACGTACATACGCACGTATGTACTGTACGTGCTTGAAGAATAGCTTTAATTGAAGCTGATGGTTTGATAATCTGTTTTTTGGACATTTTATGTAGTAACGAGGAATAACCAAAATTCTTTTTAATAATTATAAACTTGATACGTATATAGTTTGATAGGTTTTTTTTAGGTTTTTTTTTATTGTTTTATTTTTTTTTTTAGGGCAATTTTTATGTAGTATAACTTATGTAGTATAAGAGTAATTGTATGTGAATTTACTAAATTCATTAGGATTTTTAGGATTTTTAGGATTTTTAGGATTATTAGGATTTTTTGGACAATTCATGTAGTATAAGTCAATATGTATGCCAGCTTTTACCGTGCGAACAGGATCTTTCTTATAACATGAAAACAATAAATAATAAATAAAAAAAAAAAAGGTTACTAAACATAAAATTACAAGTGGTGTTTAACACCAAATTTACAAAGTGATTTATGTCTGATTTTCTACGTAAAAAATCCTTAACACCCAAAGACTTAAAGACTAAATCCTTAACACTCAAAGACTAATTTTTTATTATACAGTATGTGACACGTATTTATTTTTAATCGGTTCAAACCGGTTTTAACATGAAAAGTCGCGACTTTATTCGTACATACGTAGATGACAACTTATTTTTATAATTGATAACAATATACACGTGCTAAAATATTATCCTCCGATTGAACCATCTACTTACATTATCTCTAACATCTCTGCATTAATAAGATTAATTAAGACAATGAGGATCATCGGGGGATTATCAACTGTAACCTGGAATTACAGCATTACAGCAATAACTTAACATTTCTAATAATGATTATAATGATGGTTGTTTATTTTCTACATTCAATCCACCATTTATTTTTAGTTTCGCATTGTTCCCATTAATTAGTAAAGATTACAACTGTTTAAGGAAAAAGACGCGCAACTACATAAGATAAAACCTCATGAAAAGCGTGTGATATTTGATATCAAATTAATTTTATACTTTAAAAATTCCGAAAATGCAAACTATCTATACCTTGTGACTTTAAGTATTGGAATACATAGTTACGGTGAATAGCGACATGCTTGGTACATATGATCAATAAGGTCATGAGAGACGCGAGAATATCTTTCATCTGCAACATATTTGTTTATATTTTTCCTCATAATATTTGTAAAAAAAAAAATTATATGTTATGTATACTATAAATTATATAACATGCATTGATATTTACTTTTGTATTAACTCAAAGATTCTTTGAACTCAATAATACAGGATATGCAACTGTAAACATGACTTTTATGTTGATGCAGAATTGCATACTTTGAAGGTCATTTTACACACCACGTGTCCTTGTGCATATTTATTGAATAACAAATATTAATGAGATAAATGTACAGAAAAAACCTTTTGAGAATGAAACACAGAGATAATTAAATACGTATTACAATATTACAATTGAACTTACAATTATAATTATAATTGGGTTAGCGATCTTTTTTTTTTTTTTTTTAAGGCGTTATTTATTAATCATAAAACAAACACCGGGAAATTTTGAATTTCATGTCTCAATTTGTCAAGATTTAATTTTCCTTCAAACTTAGCTTCATATGTATATGTATGTATATACATACGTACACTTTGATGTGGCTTTAATATTTGAAGCATACGTACGCAGTAACAAGAACATACGCAGTAATAAGAACACGCAGTAACAAGAACAGCGCGTGTAAAATATCTTGATATACAAAATTTATCAAAAAAAATCCAAAACTAAAGCTTCCCGTAAACAATGAACCTGTGACTTAGTATCAACATAACTTTTCTTATGTCATAAAAAGAACAAGGAGTTGATATATAAAGTATAATAAAAAGCAAACTTTACAAAGAAAACTTTAATCTTGTAATATCTTTTAATTCTTTGTTATACTGACAGCTAGCGTCATCTGACGAACATCACGTTTCACTATATTAATTCACGTGAATTGTTGAAGGCAAGTTGCCTTATCTTGCATATTACAGGACTATCATTGATTGGTCAGTGATAACAAACGATGATGTAAGTTTTGGTTTACATATATGCGCATAAATAATGATTACCGAATTAAATAACTGGATCTAGGCAAAGTTATACTGAATATAGAAGGAAATTAGCAAATGTGTACAAGACTAATGTTTATCAGTACGGATTTAAGACTCCGAAGCGCCTTTTGTAATACCTAAACGTGTTTTTTTGATCAAGATGATCTTTGATATAACATAGATAACATAGACATCTTAGCATTAAATGAAAAAAACTTCAAGTTCGAAAGTATTAATAAATACATGAACAAAATTTCTAAAATTTCCTTTTCGTTTTTCGCACTTGTTATTTTTAATAATTTATAAATTTTTTATGAATTAAACAAATTAAAAAAAAAGTGTTTTTTTTTATTATTATGCCATGCCATGCCCATATACATTTAAGGTATTCGCGTGTTAACCCTTCGTTTTTAAAAATTAAAATAATCGATTTTTAAGCGGATCGAATTATGTTGCTATGTTATGTGTCTTGTGCTATCGAAATAATAAACGAGAAAAAAAATCGGTCTGGCTAAAAATAGCCAAAACAAAAGAAAAGCGTTTGGTGGATAAGTGACGATTTAAGTATTACGTAAAAAAAAAAAAAAAAAAAAATGCTAACGATGAAAAATTATCTACAAGTGAAATCTATAACTATAATTAACTATAATACTGTACAACTATTATTTTCGATTAATAATAACCATTTCCAGTATTAAAAGGTTTTAATTCTGTAATTTCACAGCATTCGTTGCCAAAATCTCCTTCTAAACCTTCTGGGATCTCGCAAGAACCCTGAGTTTCGTAAGTTGTGAAAAAGTTCATTCCATCTTGGCCCCATATTATTGCACCTGGATAATAAACGTTTTCGGAAAATGGATCCACGGTAGCTTCAAAACTTTGTGACCATAATGCCATATCAGCGGTGGAATCAGTATTGGGTATATTATTTTGTAGATACTGTCCCTCGTCAGTAAAGTCTTGCCCGTTGTATGGAAACCATTGCACACTCGAATCTAAATTTGGCATCATTGAATCTAGATTTGAAATAAAACTTGAAATAGTGGAATCCGTATTTGGAGTCATCGAGGTAACGGAATCCGCATTGGAAGTAATGGAATCCATACTGGATGTAATGGAATCCATACTGGGTGAAATGGGATTTGTAATAAAATCCGAACCAGAAGAACTTGAAACCGCATTTGAAGAATTTGATATAAAAACAGATTCTTCAGTGTCTGATACACTAGAGACAACATTTGTTGACTCTGTATCTTTTTTACTTATGCGCTTCTTGTTCCTTTGGCTATAATCATCATCTTCATGTTTTCTTTTACCTTTTTTTTCAAAGGTTTCAGGACTGTAATTTATGTATTCATCGACAGGCTTTTGAGCCTTTCGAAATACAAAGTTAGGATTCTGGTCGTAGGTTCTTGTCTTCAGGTCAAGAGAAATTTCTGAAAAGATTTTCTTCTCATCAACGGACGCTCCGTGCCAGATCAACTGCGCAAGCTGTGAAAGTTCCGTTCCGTTGAAAACTGTATTTGAATCTTTGAAAAATAGTCCCAAAACTCTTCTAAAACACATAAAAGAATTCATCCATCGTTTTTCTTTTAAGGTGCCATCAGGATTATATTCTGGTTTTTCAATCTCATTTATGCCAAATTTCGGTGGAAACAAATCCTGCCGATTTAACTTTGCAATTTTGTTTCTTAGTTCAATCGGCATTTGTTCCATTGTTATTACATCCCCTTCTTTGGTCTTTAAAGGCCATTCATCTTGAAGCGCCATCATAGTGTAAATGATTATAAATAAATAAATAAAAGGTTTATAAATAAAAAAAATATTATGGTATATTATACGTCTAAAAAAAAAAAAAGAAAAA